TGATGTTGTAAAGCTAGCATTGCTACATCTGTTGGGCAATGTTATGTTTGGGCACCAGTCATGTGTTAGTTTTCCTATTGGATACATTAACCTAGTAGATGATTTGGATGCATTCGATAAATTCCCATGGGGTGAAGTCATATGGGAAGAGTTGTTAACACATGCTGGGAGATGTGCACAATCCCTTAAAGCTCGTGGAAGGGGAAGAGTGACATTTGGAGGGTTTGTCTTTGCCTTACAGGTATGGGCATTTGAGAAATTTCCTTCCTTGAGAGAGTCGGGGCATTGTCAAATTGTGAAAGGAAGAGAAGATTGGATTCCACGTTGCCTAAGGTGGGAGATTTATGCAAAGATTTCAGCACAGTTTCTTCATGAAGCCATATTTGAAAATCCAGAGGTTCGTATTCTATGAAATTCTCTTTTAATGAGAATATGTAGTAAATCTGAATTATATTAATATTTTTTTTTTATTGTTTTACACAGTTTGAAGTGTCAAAGATTGTTCCAAGTGAGAGGGAGTTAAATGATCCTTCATTGGCATTATTTGCTAATGAATACATAAGAAGGGGGATAGATGACACTGTGCAACATATTGAGAGCTCAGAAAAGGCTGCAACTGTAGCAAGAAATCTGAGTGTTGGTAGTGCTAAGAAAAGAAAACTTTCAACAACTGGAAATGCCCAAAACAAGCCAAAAGAGAAGAGAAAGAGAACTATTCACAGCATGAAAGAGGAATTTCTTCCAAAAATAAAATCAAAGAGGAAGAAGGAGAGTCAGAGTCAGATTATAACAATTCTCAATGACATGAAAAAAATGCAGGAAAGCCAAGGGAAAGTGCTGAAGATGATCTTTGAGCAGTTAGAAAGAAAAAAGGGAGATGATACAGAGGAGAGGGGTTTTAAAAAGATAGATGATGAAATTGTCAATGAGAATGTTGAGAGTGAAGACATGGAAAATAAAAACATGGGGAAGGATACTATTTTGGAAGAAGATGGCACTGACCATGGAGATGTGGGAAAGGATGGCACTTCCAGACATGATGACAATGA